GCTTTGCGTTCCGAACATTACCGAATTTGTAAGTAAATGGAAACTTTCAATAATAAGTGTATGATTTCCTTAGTATCTTAAGAACTTAATGGTATACTCAAGGAAATAATAAATGCATGTCATTCTCATTGATATTAGTATTTGATACAACGATCAGGAAAATTTAACCTTACATGGGTCTAGGGTACATCAATGATTAAAGGGAAAATTTGACAGCATTTCGAGCCCCCGAATTGTGCACTCACAATCCGTCGGGTTTACATTGAAAAAGAAAGAGTAACACCAACACTTAGTCGATAAGTATATATACAAAGCACCAGAAGTACGCGCTCTACTCCGAGCGGGTAGCACGTTACGGACCATGGTATGGGGTTGTGGAAGTCTTAGCTCGGGCTACTTGTCGTTCAGCCTCGATGATACACCTCTCCATTGCGGATTGGTTCTTACGGAACTCCCTTACTTCGGCTCTAGCAGCAGTAATGTCCTTCTGAAGGGAAAATGTGTGCTCTATTGTCCGCTCATGTTCTTCGTCCAGACGACGAAGACGTACCGCAGTGGCCCCAATGTCCAAGAGTTGGCTGGCATTCACTCTTGCTTGTTCGCCTTGGTTGGCAATGCGACGAACCATGACAGGGAGTGCCCTGTCAGCCGAACCCCCGTTGCTGAGGTTATAAAAGCCTCGTGTCATGCCGTAGGGTGGGCGTTGCCCTTGTTCCCTGCTCCATCGCTTCAGATCCACAACCCAGCGGGGCGCCGGGCCCTGAAAGTTCCTTTGGGGATTTGCTGCTCTTCTGACTCTTCATTTGGGTCTTTCCTCTTCGGGTCCTCTTCAATCCAGCCTCCATTACCCTGGTTAGGGTAGTAGGGATCCCCGGGAATGTGAAATCCTGCCATTTTGTCTAGTCGAGAAATAGAGGCAATAGAATTTTATAAAAACTTGGGAGTAAAAAGGTAATTTTTGATAAATAAATTTTTTATTTATTTGACGATTTCCTAAATTTAACTAAATATCGAGGTTCGCACGATTATTATAGTTCTTATGGTTTTATAAAATACCCCTATAGTATTTCAAATTTGTAAGTTTGATTCTAGTATTTTCTTTGGTAAGTTTTCGACTTGTTGCTCACTACGACCATTCCTCGACATACGTTGGTCATATCCAAGATAAATATAGTTGATCACGCTATATTTATTCTCGATTGGATTACATACCCCGAGGCCTAGTCGTAGTGTCGCAACTTGCCTTAATACTTTTGTAAAATTTTGCTATGATACGAGACCGATGCATGCGTGTATTTATACTTTTATAATATATATATATATATATATATATATATATATATATATATATATATATCATTTTAATTTATTAAAAGTATCGTTTATGAAAACGTTTTGTCAGAGGGTTTTGGTCCCTTTGCATTTATAGTTTGTATATCTTATGTGGTTCGATATACTTAGTTCACTATAAACAATGCTCTGATACCAATCTGTCACACACCCAAACCAGAATGGCGGAAACATTCGGGGGTGGATGACTTCACGTAGTATCATAACAATTGAATATTTGTAAAGAAAGTAACCCAACCATCATAAATATAATAAAAGTTACATCGTTGCATGTAATACATGTTTCAAAAGAATATTACAAATATGATGATTTAAAATGTTTTGATAACAGACGCCTTAGCGTTCCTTCTCCAAAAGCTGATGGTTACCTGTATTACTGATCCCCTGAGAAATACAAGTAGTTTTGAAAAAGTGTCAACAATTAAGTTGGTGAGTTCATAAGCGTTTTTGTACTAAAATTCGTATGTCTTTTTGGTAAAAATGACTGAACATGTTTTCCAGAAAATCCAATATTTTCTATGTATGCGTGATAGTTTGAAAAAGTACCAAAGGCTGGAATGCAATAGTATCTTTCATGCTAAAATGGAGATAGTGAATTTATACATATATAATGTAACACTGAATGCATTTAAGAGTCTCGTAAATCAAAGTATTTCGATATTCCATGTGAGATTTATAACCATGCTATTGACCCAGACTGCCTGTAACAATGTTCTTCAGGCGTTGCAATGTTATGACGTTTGTCACCCCAGACCTGCCGGTCTAACTGTAGCTAACAGTTTAGGTGCGGGATTGTCAATCTCGTATAATTCTATACACAAGTATCACGCTCTCCCTACAAGAGATTATGGTTTATAATACATGACTTGAAATGCGTACTTGAGAGTACGGTGAAGCCGGATGTCTAACAAAACTTAGTATCAAATAGATTTACGGAATGAAAAGTCCACATTTCTTGTAAATGAAAGTATTTCCTTTTTATCGTGTTTATGAAAAGATATCATGAATAACTTGTAAACTATACCCATTATAGTTTTTCAAAAGTGTGTTCCATTTGGTGATAAAAACTTGACGTAATACCAACTTTGCATGTAAAGTGTAACGTTAGTATTAATGTTGTTTAACAGATGTAAGTAAAATATTCGAAACCATATATAATGGTGCGTATTTGAACATAAGTTTTTCTTGTGTTTCACTTGTATCCCCCCCTAAAACATGAAAAAGATGTGAAAATGTAGGGGTATGAACTCACCTGGAAAGTGTGATGATTTGATGGAAACGAGACTTTACTCGGGTAGCGCTTCGACCGGGAAGTGGTAAGTTTCTTGGGATTCTCGGAGCTTCGGACCTTCGTCGGAACTCGGATATGTAACCGGGGTGTCGGGGTCGTCTTGGGATGCTAAACGTAGAGTAGAAGTGAGAGAGAAGAGGGAAATGAGCAAGGAAAGTCGGAACCCACGCATCCTTTATATAGGGGCTGGTCATGGCGCGAACGCGGGGCGTTCCTGCTGGGTACGCACGACGTTCCCCTGAACGCAGCGCTTTCCGAAGCTATATTACGTCATTGCTTACGAACCTCGGATGGGATGGCGAAGAGTCAGGTTTGCGAGAACGAACGCGGCGCGTTCCCTCGGAACGCAGGGCGTTCCCTTCGGACCCGCCTCGAAGTGTGTGCCCAAAACTTGTAAAATCGGTAACTTTCGCGTACGAGCTCCGTTTTCGACGTTCTTTATATGCACGCGAATGTGAGAATATACTCTACAACTCTCGTTTAGACTTCATCGGCTAATTTTGACTTTATTTTTAATAATATATTTTTAACAGGCCGGGACTGGAAAAGTCCGTTAAAAATCCATAACTTCTTCATCTGGCGTCCGTTTTCGTCTGTCTTTTTACCGTTGTACTACTATTGTCGATACCTTCAATTCTCGTTTAGGTTGTGTCGGCTAAAAATCTCTCGATCTTTATTTCGAGTTTTTAGCTGTCTACTGCTGTTCCGAAACTTAGAAAAATCATAACTTCCTCATACGAAGTCAGATTTGGGCGTTCTTTTTGTGTATGCTCACGGTTTAACATAATCTACGACTTTCGTTTAGATACCTAAGGCTAAAAAGTATTTTATTGAAGTTTCACTTTTTACGCTTAACAGTGTTTTACCGGTTGGGTCGCGGATTTTCGATTGGTCATAACTTTTTCGTTATAACTCGGATTTGAGTGTTCTTTATATATTTGGAAACCTTGACAATATATCTATCATTTTATGCAACCCAAATGAGACTTTAGAACACTTCATTTTTGACGCCATTTATTACATCAAAAAATAGTTTAATATTATTTGACTTTTTGAACATTACATTGACTCGAAATATCGGGTTGTCACAGATCAATATGATTAGGGCTTGGATCCACAAGATCCAAGCCAAGCAATGCTTCCTCAAGAAACTCCTTCCACAATAAGCACCAAAAACTCACTAAATCACCAAAAAGCTCAAGAATCACTCAAATGGAGGCTAAGGGTCGATTTCTAGGGTTTAGAGGGACGGAGGCTGAAGATATTAAGGTTAGGTTATGAGATAAGGAGCTTAAATAGGGTCCACGACCCTAAAATAGGGTTTGAATCTGATTGGAGTACGCCCAACGTACATATGGTACGCCTAATGTATTCCGAAGAGCACCCGCGACCATCCTGGTCAGTACGCCCAACGTACGCCAACGTACGCCCCACATACTGCTCACTTCACTAGTATACCCCGCGTACCCTTTGTGTACGCCCCGCGTACTCGGCTGAACCCTGAAACCACCAAACTTCCGAAGGTCACAACTTCTTCGTTATAAGTCCGTTTCCGACGATCCTTATATCCACAAAAAGGTAAAGAGAATCCCTACATTTCTATCAACTTTATTTTTCCTAGAACCCACTCGAGCTCAGATCCAAAATTCATGAAAGGCCCGAACCAACGCCTTTACCGATACCCTTGTGCTCTAAAGCACAAACCGAACTCTTTAATCACACAACCTACCTTACCCACATCCAAAAGGTCTAAACCTTTCTTCTTAAAGCCTCAAAACCTTCTCATACCCAAATCACGGCCCACGAGCCTTAAATCACAGAACGATCCGAAACAGTATGTTACATAACAACCATGTGTGTCGGTATAAATTTGAGTTTGTCTACGTTTCGATATAATTTTTTTTTTACATTTCCGTGTTTATTTTTTTGTATGTTTGTTACTTATGATGCGGGTCACATATAATACAATTGTGATTATTTGAATTTTTGTTCGTTAACTTAAAAAATAATAATATTGCTTACTTATTTTTATGTACGTATCGGTATAAATTCGAGCTTCTTTGTGTTTCGATGAAAATTTTGTATACATTTTCATGCTTATTTTTATGTATGTTTCCTACGTATGAGTTCGGTCACATATAAAGGTACTTAACTTTTATCAATAAAATTATCAAAATTCACCTTACAAAACGAATTGTCGTCGTTGCAACACGCGACGTGCAAAAACCTAGTTTTAAGTAGAAACCAAAATTACACCTTTATTGTTACTAAAATGAAAACCTATACAAAATGTCAAAATCACACATAAACATTGATTTTACAAATTAATTGAATTTTGATTTAAAAATAATGAGGTTGCATGGATGGATGGAAGGATAAGGTTATCCACCAAAACCAAGTGGAAAAGCAGCCACATCGGACTCCAAGATATGGAGATCACAAATACCCTTCATCTCCATTTCTCACCTCTCAACCTTCCTTTAACTCACCCATCATTCTTTTTTCATCGATCGACACACAGAAGCAAAAAAAAGAAGAAGCATCAATGGCCTCCACATCTGCAGTTTCCATGGCTATGCCATTGACCCACAAGACCGCTCTCCCACTATCGAACTCCTTCTTTAACCCATTGACACTCAAGGTTTCTTCGTCTAAGATAGTGGCTGCACCATCCAAACGATTGGTGGTTCAGAGCTCTTTGAAGGAGAAGGCAGTGACGGCTTTGACCGCCGCAGCTCTAACGGCGTCGATGGTGGTTCCTGATGTAGCAGAGGCGGCGTCTAGTGTTACTCCGTCGCTGAATAACTTCTTGCTCAGCATTGGGGCTGGTGGTGCCGTGCTTGTTGCCATTTTGGGAGCTGTGATTGGTGTTTCCAATTTTGATCCTGTGAAGCGTGGCTGAGCTAATGTTTGTGTTATCCTTTTGAAAATTTTATTTTTGTGATTGGTGTATTTCTCTTCTGGTGATTTCTCTGTGTATTATGTGTATCTTCTTTATAAAACAAACTTATTAATCTTAATCTTTTTCTTGGCCAGTCTATGCATAAAAAGTAGTAATCTTTATCAATTTTGGTTTATAGGAAAGTACTCATTTACTTGATTAGATTAGGGAGTAATTATTGAAAAGGATTAAAAGATTTCTAAGAGAACGTTCTTTCCGTTTTATATTTCTTATTATATACGGTGTTGTTCTAATCTCCGAATGACAGCCATGTTACATTGCTTTCTAAAGCAATTAATCCTTTTCTCGTTCTGTTAGTAGGAAGCTAGTTAGCTGTTATTAGTTTGTGTGTTGTGGAAATTGAAAAATGTACTTATATTATTATCAAATTTATGATATTTTTTGGGGCACTTAAGATTAGAGTATTTTAGGTTTGGCGTAACACTAGCTTTGGCTATGGGCATGAACTTCTAGACACAACATCACAAGTTTGGCGTTAACGGTAATATCAGTGCGAACACTAATGTTCTCACTAGTCTTTTCGAAATCACACCAATAACAGTTTTTGGCTGTCAATGGCGAGAAATTTTGTGAATAATATGAGCTGTATCCCCATAAACATCTGTCTTTTACCCAAATGTGTTATACGACATAGGTTCAACCCCTCCCGAAATAGAGCTTAATGGGTTCATATTCTTGCGTAAGTTACCAATTCTAAGATGGACATGGACGTCTTTGTTATAAAAGTTTTCTTAACCCATGGAGTCATGTCTCACGCATATATATGGCTTCATGATAAGGCTAGTTCGAGATAGCCAATCCCCGTAGAATTTAGAGAAGGAAGAAAACACAAGAATTAGAGCAATTTTCTGGATATTTTTCATAATCAACTAACAAAGTTTACATATGCATTCTTAGGAAAAACAACTAGCTCAAATGTAGGAAAACATACATGCATTAAGGGAAAATGAGGTCATATTTAGATGCTGGTAACTATCACCAAGGTGACCAAGTCTTCCAAGCAACTTCCACTGACCACTTGAATCTGATGGCCTTTAAGATCTCCCTCCTGGCCGTTCTCAGTGACGAGCCTAGAATGGAAACCTACGTGGCTCACAGTGTAAATAAAACCAATATATAAAAATAGAAAATGGGCTTTCCCGGTTCTCTCTATCAAGTCTGCAGGACCTGATATTGTATGTATGACTGTTTTTGTTGGTACTAATTCTGAAAAATATTTTTTTGATTTCAGAATAGTATGTGTACTATCACTATCTGCTATACAAAGATCTCCAATCTTTTGTGCTCCAGTTGGACTCATATTAAACTTCACATATAAAAGGAATAATAAGTGAATAAACATAATCATAATTATTATTAAAAAGAAAGCTCATTTATTGTAGGAAAGACATTACATGAGAAACAAACGAAGGAAAAACAGTTTTACTAGAACAATAATAGATTTTTTTTTAGTTTATGTCTTCCATGTCATTGCAGAAATCAACAACATTTAGTGGAGTGAATTCAACATTATCAATGAGGTTTGCTTCTTTTCCTTTTCCTTTAGAGCTTTCGTGCTGATAACGTGTTATGAATTAAGCGTAATTAATGTAACTATAAATCAAACCAAACTAGTAAACTTTGATAAGAACTTTAATTGAGAAGAAAGAATATTTAGAGAGAATATGAAAGTTATATCTCTTATAACTTTTTGGTGTGTTTCATTCTTTACAATGGAGGAGTATTTATACTACAAATTTTACTAACATATAATTGTAACTAGTTAGAAATGTTGACAAATTTGTCATGCACCAATTATTATGTCATCCACCAATTATTTACAACACCACCAATTATTTACAACACCACCAATTATTTACAACACTCCCCCTTGGATGACATCATTTTAGCATTCAACTTTGACGTACTGCCTCATTAAAAACCTTGCTAAAGAAAACCCAGTGGGAAAAAAAACTTTAGCGAAGGGAAAAAGAGTGCAGTGTATAGTTGACTCCCCCTTATTTAGACATCCGTCACATTATGTTCTATGCACATGTCGCATTCCGATGCCATGGACATGTTTCCTGAAGATTGCAGTAGGAAGTGCCTTCGTAAAAAGGTCTGCTGCATTGTTACTGGATTGAACATATTTGATTTCAACTTGATGGTTCTTTATAAGCTCTTGAGTGTACTAAAAAAACTTTGGAGGTATATGTTTTGTCCTGTCGCTCTTGATATATCCCTCTTTCATTTGAGTGACACATGCTGAGTTATCTTCATAAATTAAAGTTGGACATATATCATTTTCAAGTCCACATGAAGTTAAAACTAGTTGTGTCATCGATCTTAACCATGTACATTCTCTACTAGCTTCATTTAGCGCAATTACTTCAGCATGATTTGAGGATGTGGCAACAAGTGTTTGCTTTTGAGAACGCCAGGAAATTGCAGTACCTCCATTCATGAATACATATCCAGTTTGAGATCTAGCTTTATGAGGATCAGACAAATAACCTGCATCTGCATAACCAATCAAGCCTTGTTTTGAATTGTTAGGGTAAAATAACCCTAAATCACTAGTTCCTCGAAGGTATCGAAAAATATGTTTGATTCCATTCCAATGTCTTTTTGTTGGGGCTGAACTAAATCTTGCTAGCAAGTTTACAGCGAAAGAAATGTCAGGTCTAGTACAATTGGTAAGATACATAAGAGCTCCAGTTGCATTTAGATATGGTACTTCTGAACCAAGGACTTCTTCATTTTCTTCGCATGGACGAAATGGATCCTTGTCAATATTTAATGATCTAACAACCATTGGAGTGCTTAAAGGATTTGCATTTTCCATATTGAAACGTTTCAAGACTCTTTCTGTGTAATTTGATTGATGCACAAGTATTCTGTTAGGCATATGCTCAATCTGTAAACCAAGACAATATTTGGTTTTTCCAAGATCTTTCATTTCAAATTCTTTCTTTAAAAGTTCAATCACTTCAAGGATTTCTTTATTCGTTCCAATGATGTTTAGATCATCAACATAGACTGCTATGATCACATATCCAGATGTTGTTTTCTTAATAAATACACATGGACAAATAGTGTTATTTTTATAACCTTTACTTGTCAAATAATCGCTTAAACGATTGTACCACATGCGCCCAGATTGTTTTAACCCATACAAAGATCTTTGTAATTTTATAGAATACATTTCTTTGGGTTTTGCACTTAACGCTTCAGGCATTTTAAATCCTTCAGGGATTTTCATATAGATATCACTATCAAGTGATCCATACAAGTAAGCTGTAACAACATCCATAAGACGCATCTCTAAATTTTTAGATACTGTCAAGCTGATTAAATATCTGAAAGTGGTTGCATCCATTACCGATGAATAAGTTTCTTCATAATCAATTCCAGGTCTTTGAGAGAAACCTTGAGCAACAAGACTGGCCTTGTATCTTACAATTTCGTCTTTCTCATTTCTTTTTCGTACGAAGATCCATCTATATCCTAATGGTTTCACAACTTCAGGTGTGAGGATAATGTTCCCAAAAACCTTTCTCTTGTTAAGAGAATTTAATTCAACTTGCATAGCTTCCTTCCATTTAGCCCAATCATTTCTTCTTTGACATTCAATGACAGATTGTGGTTCGGGATCATCATTCATAATATCACATGCAACTGAATAAGAAAATATTGCACCTATATTGTCAGTTTCATTTTGGTCACATATTCTATTTGTCTGACCATAATTTAATGCATCATCCTCCTTTCCTGGGGGAATTTGAATAATTCGTGTTTCTCCAGGAACACTTTCATCGTGATCTAGTGCATTTTCTGCTCCTCTTCTTTTTCGTGGGTTCTTATCCTTAGAACCAAATGGCCTTCCACGCTTCAGGCGTGTTTTAGACTCTTGAGTGACTTTATCATCAGATTGTCCATGTGGAATGTCAATTCGAGCTGGAACATTGACAGCTGGTATATATGATTTAGTCACCCTTTTTGTGTCAGTAAATGCATCAGGTAATTGATTTGCCATTTCTTGGAAATGCATTATCTTTTGAACTTCCATGTCACATTGCTTTGTGCGAGGGTCAAGATATGATAAAGTAGGCTCATGCCATGACACATCCTTTTCCAGAATCTTCTTTTCTTCACCTAATGATGGGAAATTTGCCTCATCAAATTGACAATCTGCTAGGCGTGCTATGAAAACATCACCTGTTAATGGTTCAAGATATCTTATAATAGAGACTGACTCATAACCAACATATATTCCCAACCTTCTTTGAGGACCCATTTTTGTCCGTTGAGGTGGTGCAATAGGGACATATACTGCACACCCAAAAATTCTCAAATGGGATTTATTTGGCTCTTGACCGAAAGCAAGTTGTAGTGGAGAATATACATGATATGAACTTGGTCTTATGCGTATCAATGATCCAGCATGTAAGATTGCATGGCCCCAAACAGAAACAGGAAGTTTGGTCCTCATTAGCTGGAGATGTTTAAGCAGTGATTCAGCTAAACCATTTTGTGTGTGTACATGAGCAACTGGATGCTCAACAACAATTCCTACAGACATACAATAGTCATTAAATGCTTGTGAAGTAAATTCACCAGCATTATCAAGTCTCACTCTTTTGATAGTATAATCAGGGAAATGTGCCCTTAATTTAATAATTTGGGCAAGAAACTTTGCAAATGCCATATTACGAGTTGATAATAGGCAAACATGAGACCATTTGCTGGATGCATCTATTAAGACCATAAAGTATCTAAATGGTCCAGATGGTGGGTGAATCGGTCCACATATATCACCTTGAATTCTTTCTAGAAATCTAGGTGACTCCCTTTCAACTTTCATTGGAGAATGTTTTATAATTAACTTTCCAAGGGAACAAGATGCACATGGTTTTATGCTATTGGATTGAGGAAACTTTTGGTCCTTCAATGGATGCCCG